CATTCCCGCAAGGAGAAACTGCTTCTGCCTTCTGACAGATGCCGAGCCCTGCCACCAATTGTTCCAGCTGCTGCTCCCAAGAGCTCCCTGCAAGAGTGCAGACATCAGTGCCCATTGGTTTTGGCTGCCCTATGGCAGAGAAGTGCCCCAGGGGCACAGCTCTTTGGGGCAGGAGTCGGGCACCAGCCCTGCCAGGACTCGGGGTGGTGGCAGGTCTCCCTGGGTGAGGACTTGCCAGAGCTGCTGATTTTGATGCAGCCCTGGCCAAAGGGGTCGGAGCAGCATTGGTGCCCTTGCCCTCACGTTCCTTCTGTGTGTCCCAGCCCCATGTTTGGGATGACCACCAGCCGGGACATCTCCCAAAGAGCCCGTGCCAGCTTCTGTGGAGGCCCCGTGCCCTTCCCACTGTGGCTGCGTCGGCAGCCGAGGGGGCTCTTTCTGCTGCAGGAGTGGGCTGGCACAGCAGGGAGGCTTTGCTTAGTTTTTGAGCTGTGCCTAAAGTTCATGTGCAGCTGTCTTAGCTACTTTGGAGAAGGGACTCCTTCCAACCCAGAGCAGGTAGGCCGGGCTTGGGGAGGCCCCAGGGCAGGTGTCAGGGTGTCACAGGGCCCTTTGTGACACGGTGGGCATCGCCGATGGGATGGAACAGGGCCCTTTGTGACACGGGATGATATAAGCACTGGTGTTGATGTGGCCACACCTCAGTGCTCCTCGGAGCCTGCGACGGGACAGGCGAGACAGAGCTGTGCTGTGCGGAGTCCCCGCGTAGCCAACTCTTTCCTTGCCAACCCGGAGCGTTTTTGGAGGTTTTTCATTAGTGCGAGTGTCCTCGAGGCCAGACCGCGGGATTTGGTGACCCAGAACTCTCTTGTGTGGTGTCCCCAATCCCTGCGGCAGGTGCCCTCGAGGCCGTGCTCTGGGACTTCGTGCCCCGGAGCTTTTTGCTGGCGTCTCCATTCCCTGCAGCAGGTGCCCTCGAGGCCCGACTGTAGGATGGCCGAGAGACGCTTCAGCCTGGCCAGGCTGCTCAGGAGGAAACCAAAGAAGGAAGGCCCTGGGGCTGC